AACAGGCCAACATTGATCAAAACTGGACCATTTTCTTTAGCAGTCGCTGTCACGTCATGCAGCCAGAGAGTGACTTTTAATATTGAATCTCACAAATGTACCAGTTAGAATAACAAATGCTGCACCTGCGACACTTTTAAGGTTTAAAGTTTTGAAGTGATACAAAGAAAATTTTCCCCAAACAGTAAATCTGATGGTCTAAGTTTGTGTATCATTACTTTGTATTTGTTGAACGAGGCCACAGGTGAAAGACTGGGCGGAGTTTGGTTGACTCAGTGTCACCGCGTCTCGTTAAACCTCTTCAGCAAGAGAAATACACTGAAATGAGCAAAATGTCACATGGCGTCGGTGCGAATGTGCCGGCGGTGGTAGCAGGGCGCTGAGGGGGCTCAGTTACAGATGATCTGAGTCCTGGAGTTTAAAAGAAAAACCAACCTGTGCATCCTGAACATATAGATCACACTCACTCTGTACACCATCGACTGCACCAGCTGCTCACCCACCACTTCCCTTAGACGCCCTGAGGACACCGCCATCCTCCTCACTGATCACCACTCTGTTCTGCTCAGAGGCGCCGCGCTGACTGGCAGCCGCCTCACTCTGACTGGCAGCCGCCTCACTCTGACTGGCAGCCGCCTCACTCTGACATCTCTCCGTGTTGCTGTGGGTCGTGTTTGTGCACGAGTGTATTTCAGACCTGTGTGGATACTGACATAATAACAGAGTGAAAACACTGAGTTATATTATTATTAAATAAAGTATATCTTCTTCTTCTTCTAGTAGGCCTGTCTAATCAATTGCTACTAGTAAGATGGGAATAGTTACTAGTAGCTTTCATAAAGTTTTAAACTGTAAAACAGAGCGTTTACTGCAGGTTAGGTTGGTTTATTCCTTAATGAAATATTAATAATGATGCACTTTCTTTGTATGTGACCTACACAAGAGAAAAGGTTCCAAAAAGAACCGAGCAGGTCAGAATATAAATCAGCTTCAGTCTGAGGAGAAACAAAATTAATAAAAACACAGAAGAAGAAGCTGCAGCTCAGACAAACACATCCACTTCCTGTTTAAATGTGCATGTATGTTCATTCCTGTTTATTATCTAACTCTGCGTGACGCAGCGCAGGGGGCGGGGCCTCCACTCCCGCGAGGACCAATCCGGTGAGGAGGATGATGCCGTGATGTCTCACTCTGCTCACTATCCCGGAAAGTAAAGAAGCTCGGCTGCAGTCCGACACAGTGTGAATGACCTTGTGTAAACTTAAAGTTACTGCAGCTGGAGTGAGATTTAACCAGAGGGGACAAAGCAGGAGTCACTCGCAACAATATGTAAACATTCATGATTCCAATCATAGGTGTAATTTACACCAGGGACACGTCCACGTCACTTTTTGAAAAAATTGTTAAAACAATAATCTTGCAACAAGAAATGTTCAATAACTCAGGTGAGTTTATTTTCTCAATAACAAAACATGCAATGCAAATATAGAAGAAACAGATGGACATCGTCAGCAACCTGATTCTACTTCCACTTCTGTTCTATATTTTGAAGTGTCACCTGCCACCTGAATTTAATGTTTCCCTTCATGTAAAGAAAGTGACGCCCTTGATGCCAACGAGGAAGAACTGAACTGACTTTACGCCACAGACGGTATAAAGAAGTGAGTGTAGCCGCCGTGACGTCACCCGTTGGTTTGTGTTTTAGTTTGTCATTTTGGCCGCCATGTTGATTTTTTTGCAACCAGCAGCACCGGACGTGACCATATTTGGATGAGAGGGTGGAGCTAGCTAGCTTGGTTAGCTAGCTGCATCTGTAATTTATCTTAGCTTTGATATTAGCTGGGATGCTAATTTTGGTTAGCGACAAACAGGCTTAAAACAAAACATACAAACTGAAAAATGAGCAGCTGACTCCTGATGATTTTTTTCAGCGGCGCTGGTTAAATGTGCACAGAGCAGCGAATACGAGTCGCCTCTATCCTGATTGTCGCCATGGTAGCGACCTGTCAGTCACCTTGTAGCCCCGCCCTAAAGCCTCCCCTGCTTTGTGGTCTATTTTAAAATAAATCGGACGATAATTTACAAAATGAACATCATGCTGTCTTGAAGAAGACTTGAAACTAGCGGCTGAGACCATAAACTCATCAGGAAAGTGTTTACTGAGGGAATAAATCAGCTGAGAGGTAGAAACATTTTCTCATAGACTTCTATACAATCACACTTCTTTCTGCAGCCGCTGGCGTCGCCCCCTGCTGGCCGCTGGAGAGGACGCAGGTTTAAGTCGCCCCCTGCTGGCTGCTAGAGAGGACGCAGGTTTAAGTCGCCCCCTGCTGGCTGCTGGGGAGGACGCAGGTTTAAGTCGCCCCCTGCTGGCTGCTAGAGAGGACGCAGGTTTAAGTCGCCCCCTGCTGGCTGCTAGAGAGGACGCAGGTTTAAGTCGCCCCCTGCTGGCTGCTAGAGAGGACGCAGGTTTAAGTCGCCCCCTGCTGGCCGCCTGCTGGCTGCTAGAGAGGACGCAGGTTTAAGTCGCCCCCTGCTGGCCGCTAGAGAGGACGCAGGTTTAAGTCGCCCCCTGCTGGCCGCTGGAGAGGACACAGGTTTAAGTCGCCCCCTGCTGGCTGCTGGAGAGGACGCAGGTTTAAGTCGCCCCCTGCTGGCTGCTAGAGAGGACGCAGGTTTAAGTCGCCCCCTGCTGGCTGCTAGAGAGGACGCAGGTTTAAGTCGCCCCCTGCTGGCTGCTAGAGAGGACGCAGGTTTAAGTCGCCCCCTGCTGGCCGCCTGCTGGCTGCTAGAGAGGACGCAGGTTTTAGTCGCCCCCTGCTGGCCGCTGGAGAGGACGCAGGTTTAAGTCGCCCCCTGCTGGCTGCTAGAGAGGACGCAGGTTTAAGTCGCCCCCTGCTGGCTGCTAGAGAGGACGCAGGTTTAAGTCGCCCCCTGCTGGCTGGAGAGGACGCAGGTTTAAGTCGCCCCCTGCTGGCTGCTAGAGAGGACGCAGGTTTAAGTCGCCCCCTGCTGGCTGCTAGAGAGGACGCAGGTTTAAGTCGCCCCCTGCTGGCCGCCTGCTGGCTGCTAGAGAGGACGCAGGTTTAAGTCGCCCCTGCTGGCCGCTAGAGAGACGCAGGTTTAAGTCGCCCCCTGCTGGCCGCTGGAGAGGACACAGGTTTAAGTCGCCCCCTGCTGGCTGCTGGAGAGGACGCAGGTTTAAGTCGCCCCCTGCTGGCTGCTAGAGAGGACGCAGGTTTAAGTCGCCCCCTGCTGGCCTGCTGGCTGCTAGAGAGGACGCAGGTTTAAGTCGCCCCCTGCTGGCCGCTGGAGAGGACACAGGTTTAAGTCGCCCCCTGCTGGCTGCTGGAGAGGACGCAGGTTTAAGTCGCCCCTGCTGGCTGCTAGAGAGGATGCAGGTTTTAAGTCGCCCCTGCTGGCTGCTAGAGAGGACGCAGGTTTAAGTCGCCCCCTGCTGGCCGCCTGCTGGCTGCTAGAGAGGACGCAGGTTTAGTCGCCCCCTGCTGGCCGCTGGAGAGGACGCAGGTTTAAGTCGCCCCTGCTGGCTGCTAGAGAGGACGCAGGTTTAAGTCGCCCCCTGCTGGCTGCTGGAGAGGACGCAGGTTTAAGTCGCCCCCTGCTGGCTGCTAGAGAGGACGCAGGTTTAAGTCGCCCCCTGCTGGCTGCTAGAGAGGACGCAGGTTTAAGTCGCCCCCTGCTGGCCGCCTGCTGGCTGCTAGAGAGGACGCAGGTTTAGTCGCCCCCTGCTGGCCGCTAGAGAGGACGCAGGTTTAAGTCGCCCCCTGCTGGCCGCTGGAGAGGACACAGGTTTAAGTCGCCCCCTGCTGGCTGCTGGAGAGGACGCAGGTTTAAGTCGCCCCCTGCTGGCTGCTAGAGAGGACGCAGGTTTAAGTCGCCCCCTGCTGGCCGCCTGCTGGCTGCTAGAGAGGACGCAGGTTTAAGTCGCCCCCTGCTGGCCGCTGGAGAGGACACAGGTTTAAGTCGCCCCCTGCTGGCTGCTAGAGAACGCAGTTTAAGTCGCCCCCTGCTGGCTGCTAGAGAGGACGCAGGTTTAAGTCGCCCCCTGCTGGCTGCTGGAGGGACGCAGGTTTAAGTCGCCCCCTGCTGGCGCTGGAGAGGACACAGGTTTAAGTCGCCCCCTGCTGGCTGCTGGAGAGGCGCAGGTTTAAGTCGCCCCCTGCTGGCTGCTAGGAGGACGCAGGTTTAAGTCGCCCCTGCTGGCTGCTAGAGAGGACACAGGTTTAAGTCGCCCCTGCTGGCTGCTAGAGAGGCGCAGGTTTAAGTCGCCCCCTGCTGGCCGCCTGCTGGCTGCTAAGAGGACGCAGGTTTTAGTCGCCCCCTGCTGGCCGCTGGAGAGGACGCAGGTTTAAGTCGCCCCTGCTGGCTGCTGGAGAGGACGCAGGTTTAAAGTGCTTCACTTTTCAGACCTGCAGGTTCCTGCTTGTTTTATTCATGTCAGAATTGCTTGATCAAATAACTTCAAAATGTGATGAAACAGAGGAAAGTTTTTAGTTGAGTGAGACTAGAGGCAGCCAGAAGAAGTGCTGAGGGAAAAACCCTTTTAAAGACTTGAGTCTGATATTATTAATCTAAAAGACATAGAAGTGACTGGTTTGAAGAATAAATAACAATAAAGGTATTTAATTGTTCTCCTTCGCCATAATAAAGCGGCTGGCACTGCAGAGAAACAGCAGTGAGAGTCTGAGGTCTGTTTTCCCGCGGAGTGACTCATCTCTCAGAGACGATCTTTGTCCAGTCTCATCGCGAGCTCCTCCGCGCAGCCTCCCTGCATCCTAGCGCGAGCATCACTGCGCACCGAGCAGCGACGGAGACACCGACCCGCCGAGCGGAGGACGTGTGAGGCATTCAGCTCCCGGAGCAGCGGCTTGTTTTCGGTGATTTCTCTCCCCGTCGATTCTCTATGGATGTGAAATAAAGCGGCGGTCAGTCGGCGTCCTCCCTCCATCTCTCTCTGCTCTCTCTCTTCCCGTCAGGACCGCATCCAGCCCGATACACAAAATGGCGGACATCATCGAGCTGGGACCCGCCTACGGTGAGAGCCAGGCCCTTTCTGCTTCACATCTCTCTGCTGCTGGCGTCGAAATAACTCTTTAATATACTCCAATCTTATTTTATCAGGACGCATAATGTTTTATCGTCAAGTTTAACAGGTGTTTTAGCCTAAAATGTCCCGTGTCCGCTTGATTGGTTGTCTCTAACACCCAGTTAATGAGGCGTTATCGCGCCACCGCCCGTTATTTTGTTTCATTAGCGCTGTTTTCATTTTAATCCATAATTGAGATGAAACTGTCATTTATCATCGTTACTGACTCCACTTTATCACGTTAAAGGTTATTATTTTACACCAGAAAAGGTTGGAATTGATGGATAAAACTGTAAAATATCGACCTCTCATGGTTTTGTTAATATAAAAAGGGAAAGACAGAAAGAAAAAAACGGCGTGTGACTGTTTAAAGTGGAGCTTCACCCCGACACGAGGCTGCGGTAAATGTTAACTAATAAAATAACATCATCCCTCAGACGCGGCAAACAGGCGTTCTCACGCGCCTACGCACCGTCTGCCTCTCGTGTGTACGTGCGCGTGCCAGTCGGGGTGGGTACGGGTGGGTATCGGGTGACGTCATGTCTGTACCCGGCGCTGAGGACACAAAAAATCGACGTACTGTTTAATTTTTATAACTATTATTAGTGTCGTTGTTTATTGATTATAAGGTTTGGAAAACATTTATTTACATTTACATTTATTCATTTAGCTGACCGAAGACCAAACAATACATTGATTAATCAGTTAGTTTATGGTTATTATTATTATATAGGATTATCGATCCTAAACTCCAGACGTTAATAAGAGAAACTCAGGTAACGAGACGATCGCTTTAACGATAAATCGATAAATTTGCTGTGATGAAATGTTTCAGCTGTAATTACAAACTGAATCTGTCCAAAATGGACGCACGCTGTCACGATAAAACATAATGTTGTGTTTCAGATCTGTGACCATCAGATCAATTAATCGCAGAAAGTTTTGGGATTTTAAGAAACCCCTCCACTCGCCAGTGTCTGTTTTCTATCTCAGCAAACTGAATCTCTTTGAGTTTTAGACATTTCATCCACTAAATAATTCACCAATAATGAAATAATCATCAGTTCCAGCTCCATAAATAAAACAACTAGAACAAGAGAGGAAGCGAGTAGACATAACCAAGAGATTATATTTGCAGCCTTCAGCACATTAGTCGTGGATATTTAGATTTATATTAGTATATCTACTTTTTTGTATTTTGTTCTTTCTTTTTATTGAATTGAAATTTCCTTTTTTTCACTGCATGAATCATACAAAGAAATTCAGGCGCACTGAAACCGGAAACGATGCTCAAACATCAAAATTAGAATAATAAAATAATAAAATAGATTGTAGTATTGCACGTACATTACATTCCCTCTGTGCTGCTGTGCCAAATTAAATCTCCTCTCCAGGGGATCAATAAAAGAACATCTCATCTTATTATTCTGATAAACGGAGGAGCATTACTCTGTAAACACCAGGTACAGCTACAAACTAAACACGGTGGTGATTTTATCTGATGGTCTAAGTTTGTGTATCATAACTTGTATTGTTGAACGAGGCCACAGGTGAAAGACTGGGCGGAGTCACTCAGTGTCCCGCGTCTCGTTAAACCTCTTCAGCAAGGTTTAATGAGAATATAAATACACTGATGTTATAAATAGGACTGCTGTCAATATTAAAGAATTGCCAGCTATTTGCTACTTTAATCCTCTCTAAACAAGACATTTGAGGACGTCATCTTGGGCTTTGGGAAACACAGATTGACATTTGCACCATTTTCTAAACTAATTTATATATAATTATAATGATAATAATAAATTGAGGAACTGCAGTCTGTGTTTAAGATGGATTTATTAATGTTCTCCGGCACACATGCTGTAACAGGAAGCATTCAATAGGACTGCGATCAGGAACCACAGCAGCAACATAAGTCAGAGACCTGTGACGGCCCGGACAGTTTGAAATATTAGAGCACAGTTATTGTTAATGAAAATGGGGACTTGCAGCTTAAACTGTTTTAATCTTATTCCAGCTCAGTTACTGTAAAGTTAGAGTCCAGTTAGTTCAACAACATACACAATAGATAGAATAGATTTGGTTATATATAAATTCATCTGAGTACATTGATTTCAATTCATGTTTTTGTGTCTTTTGGTCGCACAAAGCAGGACGTGAGAAGACTGCACCTCAGGGTTTTGTAGGGCAAGCGATTAAATGTGAAAATAACCAACAGATCGATGTTATTATTATCATTATTATATTATTTTCCTGAGGTACAATGAGAGAAAACCCCCAGCCTGCAGAGACGATGAAAATGATCAGATATCAGATAAATATGTCGATATTAACCCTTTGATGCACAACAAATTCATTTCAGTTACCTTAAAGATCAGGAAGTTCTCGCTGTTTTAGCTTCACGTTGTTAAGCCGTAATGCTTTTTTCACAGCCGCAACTCGCTCATTCATTCATGAATTTCTGAGCACCAGCGTCCGTCTGTTCCTGGGACTGAACATTAGTTCTGTTGGATCTCTGGAGATCCATCGGCTGGAGCTCTGCCGGTGTTGTCGTATGTTGAGTGGCAGTATACCGCTATAATTATAAAAGAGATCTGAAATTAGACAGTATACGTTTCTACAGATATAGTTTGATGTTGGTTAATGTTTCCTGCCAGCGTTTGCTCCTCTCTCTCTCCCTCACCGCACCGTCGTCTACTCACAAAGTCTCTAACAAGATGGAGGGAGACTCAGTGCTGGTCGACGCTGTTAAAGACCAGGGCCGTAATCCAGAAACTTCCTAACCGGCAGACCCTGTCCCGACTGCTTGGTAACCATGGTAATAAGGGTGAGGACGTGAGTTAGGAAAAAGGCCGTTCCTCAGCCAGGGTTCCTTTCCTGGCTGCTGAGACTCCTCACTTTACTTTTCCACCAGCTAGAGTTTAATAACTCGTTTCATCCGCATGGCTGCTCTTTGACTGCTTTCACAAAATCAACAAAATGTCAACAGGTTCTACCTGGTTGTGTTTGATGACCCAACCCTCGTTAGCAGATCAGACGCTGGGTAATGTCTCGTTATGTAACATGATGTGAAGGCTTGATGGAACAAAAGCCTCCTAATGCGGGTCTTTGATAGGAGGAGATCGTTAAATTCAAGATATAGATGAAAGCATGATGACGTCAGCCCGCAGCCTTTATTAATATTTTTCACCTTCATTATTAGCTTTCCGGGTTCCTGCCGGGGTCAGTGAGGGAGCTCTCTGGACACAACAGCTGCCGGATATGCGGCGGTGACCGTGTCCGCTATTTTAGCCGCCATGGCTGCGTTCAGACTGCAGGCCTTAATGTTCAATTCAAATGTTTTTTCCCAGATCAGATTTTGTTTGTTTGACAGTTCACATGATAGTTTAAATGTGGCTGATATCAGACTCCAGTGTGAACTGTCCGCCTGTAGTGACCCGCACGCAGCAGAAGAAGAACAGGGCGTCACGCAGCAGCAGCAGCTGTTGGAGGCTGCAGACGTAAACATGGAGCAGCAGACTTAGCTCCGGTTGGACAAACAGCATGCACGTAACTCAGAAGAGCTCCGGTCCGCTGGATTTCAGGTGTAAGAAAGGGAATTTGTGAGCAGATGACGGCGAGGTAGAGGAGGAAGAGATCCACGTGTTTGATAAAGGCTAAAGAGCCGTACCATCTCTGGTACCGGTAACGGGAAAACGGAATAAGAAGCGGGAACGCTGACGTGTCTGCAGCGGAGGTACGTCAGGTCTGTAATACTGACGATGGAGAATGAAGAATAATTAAACGGTGAAATAAGAAACAGGCTGTTACTAAAAGTAGTAAAAACATGCTGATGAATATTTCCTCCTCGTAGGAGAGCAGAGTCCAGTCCTGGGAACTGATCTGCAGTCTGCTCTGACATTCACTAACTGTGTAGAGGCTCAATACTAACACTGCATTCTGGGTAAAACGCTCGTCCTGTCGGCGCTCTGCAGGTAGAGCTGAAGCTGTGTGAGGTCGTTAACTTCCTTTGTCTGATTTCAGATTTGATTCATCGTTGCAGTAAAAGAAAAAGTCCTCAGTTTAGTGAAATTTAAAACAGACAAACAGACGAGTCTCTAAACTGAGAATCCAACTAGTAATAAAATCTAATAATCAGCTTTAAATGTCAGGAGGGATCAATAGATTATTCTGCAGGTGCACCGATCGCTTCAGCGTCGTCATGAATTAAATTCTGTTTGGTAGAAAATTCAGGACAGTAAAATACTGTGTTCCTATTGGCTCTGAGCCAGCCAATGAAGAGGGTGCTTAATGTGAGGCGTGTGTGTGTGTGTGTGTGTGTGTGCGTGCGTGTGTGCGTTGCTAGGCAGCGAGCTCAGCTGCTTTCAGCTCCTTCCAAACATGACATCATCTGATGGGTCTGAATGAACAACAACAGGAAGCAGATCTGAGGCCTGCAGCAGCTCGCTGTGGTGATCAGAGGTCACTTTACAATCAGCTGTCAGCACCAAAATAACAACAGTTGGGTTTGGAAACTCCTCCACCGATAGTTTTGTGGAGTATAAAATGTCTGACGGTATTAAAGGGTTTCACTCGCTCTGAGGGTTTGTGCCCATTCTAAACTCTGCAGAGGAAACAGAATTCAACTTTTAGCTCAGGAAGGATCCGGAGGACGGCTGCTGCGTCACTATGAACCTGGACTGTGCGTGAGACCTTTTGGACGTGTAGAAGAACTCGGAACATGAATTAACATCAGGTCCTGACATATCCTGTCGGCGTCCTTTAATGAATGAAGTTACGCTGCTGTGCCTGGTGCGTAAATGTGCACGGCGTCTCTCTTACCATCTGAGTAACGCGCCCTTAAATAACAACAAACAGTGAAACACTTTCTGCTGCTTCAGATAGCCAACAGTTGTTCAGCTAAACTGTATCTTGATGCAGCAGAAAGCGACACCGCAGTATTTCACCGTGTTTTGTTCTGCACATGAAACGTTTTAAACGTCTGACAGCAGCCTCTCTAATGGTTGAAGAAAATACTGCAGTAAAGCACAAAATAAAGAAACCGCTGTAGGGGAGAGATGTGACCCCCGACCGGTTCATCAGAGCTTCTAATAAGGCAGCGCAGTGAGGGTCAGACGTTTACAGAGCTGCAGAGGAACATCGGGCGTCCACACTTCTGTCTCTGCTGCGAGTCACCTGATGGTTTCATCATCATATTAGCAGTAGTAGTAAAAACGCTCCTGGCTGGTGGATCACGCATAAAACACACCCATGACTAATTCACAGACTGAGTACAACCCTTTGAACCACCTGGAACACTCACCATGTTTTTCACCTTTAAAATAGTGCGCTCCACGCCGTGCGCTCCACGCCGTGCGCTCCACGCCGTGCGCTTAGGTTATTAAAATAGGGCCCATTGACTCTGTCTGAGGGTTTAGACTCGGGCTGACGGAGCGGGTTGAGTACGGTGTTGGCCTGTCGTACAGGTTATTCATTTTACACACAGCGCTGTGGGTAACTATAGGCCGAGCACTCGATGGGGAGCCGGCAGCAGAGGGACCAGGATTTCATGTTCCAGCAGAGGACCAGTCTGTCCTCATTATCAGGGTGCTCCTCTATTCAGACCAGTACGGTAGATCAGATCAGGACTACAGTGCTCCTCTGTACAGAAAACAAAGACCTCCTTACACTCCTCCTCCTCCTCCTCCTCCTCCTCCTCCTCCTCCTCCTCCTGCTGCCCCCCCCCCCCCCGTCTGCAGGGATCACTTCTGTTGTTTCTAATGAGACCTCAGGAGGGTCGATGTGGTGACATCACTGTGTTACTGTTTTTAACCACGATCCTGACGTCAGTGACCGTCAGTGACGCATCATCGTCCTCCATGTTTGTTTTCCTCTCTGTGGTCACAGCTGGTCACGTGAGGGTTGAAATACTTTAATTAGACTGAACCGCAGAGCTTAGCTGATGAGGTGAGGCGTTTTATTACAACAGCTCTGATGTGACCTGAACGCAGCATCGTTTCACTGTAAACATACATTTATAGAGTTTATGGTGACGCGAGCTGAGAAACGGCTGTTTCAGATGATGTCAGCATGTCCCGGGACAGGAAGTGAATGAAGAAGTATTCACAGAGCTGTGATTAATGACTAGGCGTTTCTGTCATCAGCTGTTCTGCAGGTTCTTTTCTCAGTGAATCGAGTCTTTGGTTCTGATCCAGATGACCTCTGCAGAGTTCAGATGAATCAGATCCATCGTCATCACGCTGCTCTTCATCACAATAATTAAAAATCATCTTGTTTGATTGTTCTGGTTCTGACGCTCGGACAGCTGATCAGAGCCGATTGTCTGAGCTGTGTTCTGACCCGTCCTCCCTCTGTGTCTCTGTCCCAGCCATGTCTCCGGTCCTGGCAGGCTTCCTGGGAGCTGGCGTCCTGGTTTTGGTCGTAGTGGTTCTGGTTCTGCTCTGGTCTTTCTGTCAGCGCCGTTACCTGCGCATCTCTGGACGCTACAAGCTGCACGGCGACCGTTACTGCGACGCCGAGGACCCCCCCTACAAGTTCATCCACATGTTGAAGGGCATCAGCATTTACCCAGAATCCCTCAGCAGCAGCAAGAGGATCGTACGCAGCATGCGCCGCGTGGAGCGCTCCGACCGCGAGGGAGAGCGAGGCTGCCCCGCCGCCACGGGGAGGGGCATGGTGCTGGTGGACGCTGAGAACAACATCCTGGACGTCCCGGGGCAGCTGCAGATGAGTCACCTGGTCCCCCCCGCCGGGGCGGGCCCCGCCCTCAACCAGGCCCGGCTGGAGCGGGCTCTGCCGGTCCGCGCCGACTACTGCTGCCTGGACAGCTCAGCCAGCAGCAGCCAGACCAGCAGCAAGACCGCGTCCCCCTTCACCCCTGCGTCCTCGGAGCCCGAACCGGAGCCCAGCCTGGGGGCCATCAGCCTCACCGTCGACTACAACTTCCCCAAGAAGGCCCTGGTGGTGACCATCGTCGGGGCCCGGGGCCTCCCCGCCATAGACGAGCAGGCGGGCAGCTCGGACCCGTACGTGAAGATGACCATCCTGCCGGAGAAGAAGCACCGTGTCAAGACCCGCGTGCTGAGGAAGACCCTGGACCCGCTGTTCGACGAGACCTTCACCTTCTACGGCGTGGCCTACAGCTCGCTGCCCGAGCTCACCCTGCACTTCCTGGTCCTCAGCTTCGACCGCTTCGCCCGAGACGACGTCATCGGCGAGGCCGTGGTGCCGCTGAAGGGCGTGGACCCGAGCACGGGCCGAGTCCACCTGAGCCAGCAGATCACCAAGAGGAACATGCAGGTGAGTGACAGCTGCGGCGAGACGTGGTCGCAGACTATTAATGAATCATTTGCTCGTTTGTACGTTGAACATGAGAGGGAGGAAGCGGTCTGGAGGTCTGACCTCACCGCTGCGTCTTTATCGGGTTAGAGCTGGACGTTGGTGAATAAGCTGTTGTCCTGCTGAGCCGTCACTCTAAACGGCGTCAGCGACGTCATCTGTGTGACGTCAGGCGCTTTAACATGTTGTCTTTAACCTTTATTTATCCAGGGGAGAAAATCAAGACACTCAGACTCCGTCGTGCAGATAAAATACACTGATGGAATATCTGCTCATTTAAAACATTTCCATCCGTCTTTAAAATCAAGATTTAAACTTTAAAAAGGAGCCAGCACCTCCAACCGGATCAGGTCTTTAGCAAGGAGGTCCAGGTAGATGTTGCACAGCATGAGAGGTCCGCCTGCTGGACCCATGACTACTGACTGCAGAGCTAAGGTGCACCTGGACTGTCCAACGCCTGTTCTTTATTCCTGAGCTCAGAGGATCACAGAGGATCAGTAAATGAAATGAGTCACGTTATTCTACACAAAAAACTACAGTGTCACAAATAAACTAAAGAAAATACAAAGACTCTCAGAGGAACCTGAGAAAGGGCCCACTGATGTTACGATACATCTTATCTTATAGACCATGATGCATTGCTGCAGATTAATTAATGGATATTAATCCACAAACATCAGATCTAAGAGAGAAGTTTTCCTGCAGTACTGTAAGTACACGCTGCTCATAATACTTAGATAATCTTACTGAAGGACGTTTTAGATGCAGTGGAGTATTTGCACAGTGTGGTATTAGTACTTCTACCGCAGTAAAATGATCTGAGTGCTGTTTAGTGTCTGTTCAGAGACGTCATCGCAGCATCTGATTGTCTCTGTGTCTTTTTCAGTGTGAGAGTCGTGGCGAGCTGCTGGCGTCTTTGTCCTACCAGCCGGTGTCTCACCGCCTCAGCGTGGTCGTCCTGAAAGCTCGACACCTCCCCAAGATGGACATCACCGGCCTGTCAGCCAGTGAGTGTTTGTGTGCTGTGTGTTCTCCACCTTTAACATTTCATCTCACGGCCGACTTAAACATCTCAAACGTTTCTGTCCAAACGGGAATTTCCAAAATGTGTTTGAAGTACCGCAGAGAGACTATTCTCTGAGCCTCGCGTGTTCATGTGTGATGTTCAGCTACAGAACAGACTTCTCACCTGTAGTTTGTCCTGAGGGGGGCGCTAGAGGAGAGCTCTTAGAGCAGGACGGGAACTGAACGTCACATGGTCATTAAATGAAGAACAACAGTAAAAAGCAGCAACAACTTACTTCACAATGACTGACAGCTACAATTACAATAAGTAGAATCAGCCTCAAAGTCCTGTGTGAGTGATTAACCCCCCCCCCCCCCCCCCCATGTTTAATTATGAAACAGCACAAGTAAACCAGTGACTGAGTCTGCCAGTGATAATTGACTTAACTGTTCTTCTTTTCAGACATTTTAACCCGGTGTTCGCTGCTCAGTTATGAGGATTTGATGCTTTTCTTAGTCAGACACGACAGTAAACTGAATATTTGATCGGACAAACAATAAACTGAGAAAAGGTTTGCTGCAGTTTATTCAGTGTTTTTCAGATGCACGCATATTTCTATTTAACCAGGAAGTCCCTCGTGATTAAAATCTGTTGACCGACAGAGACCAGGTCGAGAGGTCCCACCAGTTCCAACTTACAGAGAAATAAAAACCAACATCACAAACAAAGAAGGGGGCTGGATCCAGCTCACATGAGGCCAGTTAGAGTTTTAACATGACTTCAGATTCATTTAATGGGCCTAGGTCATCTAATAAATGTGGGTTGAAATGAATAAAACGTGTTTTCTAATAAACTATAAAAAAATTGAAAGGGGAGGCGTCTCCAACCTCTCAGGGTTCTTTATAGAGGTCGGAGCGTCGGTGCTTTGCACAGTTGGTTTTGTTAATTCTGCAGAAAATGAGTATTAAAACCGTTTAAAGTATTCAGGATCTATAGGAATTGAAAAGTTTATATTTTTGACTACACTGTGGCCTTGGACACTAAAATATACAAATGAAACGGTCTGCGTAGACTTAGTGACGGCCGGTCGGGAACCAGAGTTAGTTATAAAATGTAGTTTTCTACACGAATCTAAAAGGTGGAGAATACGAAGGGCAGAATGCATGTACACCACATCACCATAGTCCAAAAGACTTAGATCTGAAGCTGACCAAGTTTCTTCCTGCCAACATGTTAAAACAAGCTTTATTTCCAAAGGAAGAACCCAGCGGTACCTTAAAGGGTTTGCGATTCTTATCCAAGACACTTTTTGTTAAATTAAGCGAATATTTCCTCGTGGGTGTCCCAGCTCTGGGTCTGTACATTGAGCACCAACCAGCTGCTGGGAGCGAGCGGCAGGTGGAATCGCTGTGATTTGTTGATAAACAAACTCATGAACGCACATTGCCATGGTAACCAGTCCTACTCTGCTTCAACAGTTACAATTAGTGAACAAACATCATCAAACGAACGACATGTGTAAGGTCACAAACGCAGCGTCCAAAACACAACAGAGTAAAACTAAGGTTATTATTAGTTTGTACAAAAATACTTTGGCTGAAAAGAGCCGGGAAGCACAGGAGCGACTGTTTATCTCCAGGGCCGAAGTCAGCGCTGACTTTGGGTCAACCTCCTTCACTTTATTCAACAGTTGGCAGCAGCACCAGGAGCTCCTCTTCATCCTGAGAAGCTGCCTCTGTAACTTCTACTGTACATTTACTGCTGAACGAGGAGCCGACCCGCTTCTCTCTGTTCACCCGTTCACCCTGTCCGGCAGAAACAGAGCGCCCTCAGCATCGGTTTTCATTCCTCTCTAATCTCCTAGATTTATCCAGCACTGAAGCCGCTCACAGATGTTCACACAGGTCTTCCCCTCACCTGCTCTTAGAACGTCTTTCCCTCTGTGGCTGGAGTCCAGCGTGTTCGAACGTACCGCTGTTTGGAGCGCGCCCCAGCCACCTGCCGCTCACTCCCAGCAGCTTCGTTTGTGCTCAATGTACAGACCCAGAGCTGGCGACCCACGAGGAAATATTTGCTTAATTTAACAAAAAGTGTCTTGGATAAGAATCGCAAAGTACCCCTTTAACTTGTTTCCAGCTCTACATTGTGGTTTTTCTTGTTTGCTCCTCAGACCCCTACGTGAAGTGAACGTCTTCTACGGCCGGAAGCGCATCGCCAAGAAGAAGACCCACGTGAAGAAGTGCACGCTGAACCCGGTCTTCAACGAGTCCTTCATCTACGACATCCCGCCCGAGCTGCTGCCCGAGATCTCCGTGGAGTTCCTGGTGGTCGACTTCGACCGGACCACCAAGAACGAGGTTCTGGGCCGCCTGTTGCTCGGGCTCCACAGCCCCGCCCCTCCGGAGCCTCCCACTGGAGGGAGGTCTGCGAAAACCCCCGCCGGCAGATCTCCAAATGGCACAACCTAGCGAGTACTGAGGCTGGGGGGGGGGACCAGCAAAACCAGCCCACACCACCTTCCTGGCTGGGACTCCACCAGTGAAACCACTGGGAAATACAGACTCAGTGTACAGCACACACACACACACACACACACACACACACACACACACACACACACAGTTGTGATCATAGTGAAACTCTCTCTCTCTCTCTTCTATCTCTCTCTTCCACCACTACATTCGTCCTGTTCATGACAGCGAAGAAGCAAAAAGAAAACGAGCTGTTTCTAAAAGAGAACCCATGAAACCATCCTCGGCCCGTTCATGTCTCCTCTGGCTGTGTGTGTCCGCGGGGAAGGAATGCTCCGATTTAAAAAAGATTACTAAAGATTCCCCTTCTTGCTGTTGTCGTCACGCAGCTCATCGCATGTCTGTCCCAAGAGAAAAGAAAAACAAGCCCTCCAGATGAGGAGCTGAGAGCTGAGCGGCGGCAGGAGGACGCTTCAGCTCCGGTAGAAGAAATACTCACTAACACTGCGTAGGACTAATCGCTGCATATATCCAAGTATAATTACTCCTCAGTAGGACCCGGTAGAGCGCCACAGAGCTCCCATGTCTCGCAGCGGCCATGTTTTTAGGGGGTGGGGTTGTTGTAGTCCACAGCATGCTCCCTGCCTCCTCCTGAAGAAGATCAAACATCGTGTTCACTCGTGGCTCCTGGAGGAGGTGCCCTCCCATCTGACTGTGAACTGTTTCAATGTGGATTTACAAACTGTGGCTGAAGACGAGTGGAGACGCTAACCAATCACTTTCTGCTCAGCAACACTAGAGCAGACTGAGAGACCGTGTAAAATACTTGTTTGTGACATGAATGGTATTTAATAGACTCTCTGAAGGAAGCAGGAAGCAGCTGGTGGACTGATTCATCCCGACGCCGTTGTCTCATTACCAGGAGTCACGGAAAGACCTGCCGAGACCAGGATTCACTCAATCAGGTCGCACCGTTAAAGCTTGAGAACGAGTACAGGCAGCAGAACGGGCGTGTTATTAACGTGGTTTAGCGTCTTCTGACTGACGTAAAATTAAATTAAAATTAAAATTACAATCTCTCAGGTGTGAAATGTTTCAGGTTGGTCTCTGGCTGTACTGGCTGTGGTTTGAGATTTCTCTGTTGGAAAACTCGAGGCTTTGACACAGAGCTGTCAAAATGAAAAGACAGATGCTAAATATTAAACTAACATCTTCCACGTGTCGGATCTCCGGTCCTGCAGAAAACGAGTACTGTGGTGTTTCCAGAATTTTGGCACCGAAGTACCGTTCTCGTGACATCCCCACACTGAAGTCACTGTTAAACAGCATTCATCATTTAGCCGACGCTTTTATCCAAAGCCACTAATAGTTGGTGTATCGGTCCGAGGTCGCACGCCACTGGAGCAACAAGGGGTTAAGTGTCTTGCTCAGGGACACGTTGGTGTCTCACAGTGGATTCAAACCCAGGTCTCTTACACCAAAGGCATGTGTCTAATCCACTGCTCATCTCCACCCCAAAATATTTCTTCAGTTCAGTAGTGGTATGCTGAGACCGGGATTCGAACCATTAGTCTTTGGATCTGCAGGACAAGGCCGTAACCTCTGGACTATTAAGGCCTAAAGTTTCAGGTCAGGTCGCCCGCGCTCCATGTGACCTCCGTGACTCTTCAGATATTAGCATGCTAACGTTAGCTTTGTCAGGTAGTGGCCGTAAATATTTAAAACGAGTCTGTGAGCTGCAGCCTGTTTCACTGTAGTGATGGTGAAACTGCACAGCGTCACGCCAGAGACGTTTTAAGAGGAGACCCGTACAATCCTCAGTACAACTCTAGGCAAACCCCGTAACGCCAAAGAGGGCGGCTGTCCCGCCCCTCCTACTAGAAAGCCAATCAAGCCAATCGTGTGGTTCCACTGCTGCTGACGGCGTCATGAAGGAAACGTCCTCTGCATTTCTGTAAAGGTTCAGTGTGAAGTTTTAGTGGCATCTAGTGGTGAGAGGGGAACTGCAACCAACCACCTCCTCCCTTGCAAGTGCGCAGGAGAAGCTACGGTGGCTCATCCTAAGGTAATAAAAACATAACGGTTCATTATGTAAAGTCTTTACACACCACTGAAAAGAGAGTTATGGATATTATCAGCCAGTAGGTCCTCCTGAATGTCACACACTGGACTTTAACCTGAAACAGCGTCCACATTTACAGACGTTTTAAACTGACTGCAGCTCAGCCGTACAGGAGGCGTTACTGCAGAGTCTCAGTTCGTACCTGTATTAGGGCTGCAGCTAATGATCATTTTCACCATTAATGTTTTAGCCTAAAAAAAGTGGTAAAAAATGTTTATCTAAGTTTCCCAAAGTTCGAC